AGGATGTTCTGAAAGCTAAGGAGGCACCTCGATTTTTATATTCCACGTCTGGGTGGTCGTGGGCTACATCTATCTATTACCAAACAATTTACCGTTTCTAATTTCTACCCTCCACTATCGTACTGGGATCCCGTTTGACCCTGACAAACTTTGCGTCTTGCTCGGACTATGGTCTCCATGCGTTGTCATGTTTCCACGAGGGCGTTCAAAATCTCTCTGGCGAAAACGCATAAATCCTTCGTCTTGGAGGTTTCGGTATGAACAAGTGGTCTCATCTCGAGCTAACTCACCATCCTCCTTACTCTGACTGGAGTGATCAGCTCAGTCGAGAGTCTTATCAAATGCCTCGTTGTCTTCACAACTTGACTGCATTGACTTTTGAGGACTTTCTGCCACGATCAGACTAGTCAACGTCGTGGAAAAGTTCCTCATCCACAGATAGGCCTCCGGTTGGCTCTACACTGTGCAAGCACTAGACTGGGCTCTGTGCCTCGTCCCTACGGGCACGTCCCGATAACTCATTGGACTGTTAGCGATTTCGTCCCTATACTTTCAGTCCATGTCCGAGGTGGTCAACTTTGCTTAACTCGTAGCTCCACGGTTACCCGTCCGATTGACTCTATTCTACTTTTCAGACACGGCCTGAGGTCCCCTCTTATATATCCTGTGAACAGCTTCCGGTCGGACGGACGGCGACAACGTATATGGTGTTATAAAGCATGCTTCGTTTTTACTAGTTTATACTGTCGGGACAGCAAATTCCGGCGATACTATTACTGCGCACAGGGCCAACGGCGGGGCCGGAGGGGGGTGTTGGGTATAAAATCTTCGCGGTTTTCAGGAGGTCTATGCGTGGGGAAGGTCTGTGCGTTCATATGTGTAACACATATCCAGATTATATCCTAAGTAAGTGAGGTCACCTAGTTACCATTCTAAGTTTTTTGAGTGATATACACAGCTGCCAACCGCTTCCCCTTTACTACCCCCAGCCCATACTGGCTCCCCTGGCCCTCTACTGGCTTCTTCCTTACTGGCTCCCCCCCAACCAGCCTGAGCATTCTGCATACCACCTCACTTCTTGCTGGCTCTATCTACCACCTATCTACCTACCCCCTTACTGGCCCTCCCTACTACCTCTTTTACATTTAAGACTTTATTGTTTACTTTACCTACTTTACCAAGTTAGTGAGGTGCTGGTTAAGTACTGAGTTTGACACAAGATTCTGCTGGCATCCTAGGAGCACAGTATCTCATACTCAGCAACCTGATTCTATACGATGCCAGCTTTCCAGTAGTGTGTAGGACATCTACCCAGCATCCATATTGGTGGAGTTACAGCCTGTTATAAAAGTAGTCTTTACTCTGGTAAAGTGCTGAACTTGACATGAGATTCCGCAGGCGTCCTTGGCACAAAGCATCTCATACTAGCAGGCCTGATTCTACATGACGCCTGCTTTCTAACAGTACCTAGGACGTCTATCTGGCATCTATATTGGTGGAGTTACAGCCTATTATGATAGTGATCTTTACCCTAGAAGTGTGCTAACTTTGACACCAGATTGCCCAGGTGTTCTTTGGGTGCAGCATCTGATACTCAGTGGCCTAATTCTACTTGATACCAGCTTTCCAATGATACTTGAGATGTCTAACTGGTACTAGTATTGGTAAAGTTACAGCCTGTTATGTAAGTAATCTTTACCCTGAGAAAGTGTTAACTTTGATACCAGATTCCTCAGGTATCCTTTAGGCGCAGCACCTCATACTTGGCGGCCAGATTCTACCTGATGCCAGCTTTCTAATAGTATCCTGAGTGTCTACCCAGTGCCTATATTGGTAGAGTTACATCATGTTATGGAAGTAGTCTTTACCTAGGCAGAGTTTTGGTAAAGTTTTGGCAAAATACTGACTTTGATGCCAGATTCCTCAGGTGTCCTATAGGTACAGTATCTCACAATTAAGAGCCTGATTCTACCTGACACCAGCTTTCCAATGGTATCTTAGATGTCTACCTGGCACCCATATTGGTGGAGTTACATCCTGTTATAGAAGTGGTCTTTACCTTGGCCGAGTTCTAGTAGAGTTCTGGTACAGTGATAACTTTGACACCAAACCCCGCAAGGGTCCTTTGGGCACAGTATCTCATACATGGCGGCCCGATTCTACCTGATGCCAGCTTTCCAATGGTACCTTGGACGTCTACCCAGCACTAAAATTGGTAGAGCTGCAGCCTGTTTTGAAAGTAGTTTTTACCTCTGCGGACCCCTGGCAAAGTGCTGACTTTGACATCAGATTCCTCACATATCCTTTGTATGAGGCATCTGATACTTAATGGTCTAATTCTACTTGACGTCAGCTTTCTAATGGTGGCTTGAACATCTACTTAGTACCAATATTAGTAGAGCTACAGCCTGTTTTGAAAGTAGTCTTTACTCTGGCAGCCCTCTGATAGAGTGCTGACTTAGATGCCAGATCCCTCGGGGGCCTTTTATGCATGGCATCTGATACTCAGCAACCTGATTCTACTTGATGTCAGCTTTCCAACAGTGCTTCGTATGTCTACTTGATGCTAATATTGGTAGCACTACAGCTTGTTTTGAAAGTGGTCTTTACCCTGATGGACCTTTAGCAGGGTACTGACTTAGATGTCAGATTCCTTGAGTGCCCTTTAAGTGCGGCATCTGATACTTAGCTACCTGATTCAACTTGACGTCACCTTTCCAACGGTGCCTCAGACATCTACTCGACACCAATATTGGTAGAGCTACAGCCTGTTTTAAAAGTGGTCTTTACTCTGATAGACCTTTGGCAGAGTACTGACTTTGATGCCAAATTCCATGGGTGTCCTTTGCACACAGTATCTAATACTCAGTGGCCTGATTCTACCTGATGGTAGCTTTCCAACTGTGCCCCAGGTGTCTACCTGACACCAATATTGGTGGAGTTATTATCTGTGAGGCTAGTGGTTTGGGCCGGATATAGAGTAAAAAGTTAGGGGGGGGTTTTTTTTCTCTACAGTGTATTATAGAGCTGACTTGAATATTATGAGGAATACTTTTTATTTGAAAGGTTTTAGAATCTACATATGTGACCTAGGTCACAAAGCCTAATTCTTGTATTGCGTCCTTTAAATCACGACAGTGCTTGCTTGCATCCTGAGTTCTGGCACCAAGGACCATTGCGTCTTGAGATTTGGTGACTGCTGTCTTGTATTCTGATTAACGGTTTGTGTCCTATGTGTCCTGTGCATCTGACGCGCAGGATGCACAGGATGCAAGCTTCAATTTTTGCTGATGGCTGTAGCTCTACCAATATTGATACCAGATAGACGTCCAAAGTAGCATTGGAAAGTTGATGTCACATAGAATCTGGCCACGGTGTATCAGAAGCTACACTCTAAGGGTGCTCTAAAAATCAGGTGTCAAAATACCTTGCCCACTGGTCGTAGTCTAGCAGGTACTGGTAAAGAAAACAACAAAGTCCAGAATACAGGAGAGATGGTATGCAGGATACTGGTAAGGGGGCAAGCTGGTAGGGGGCTGGCTGCTAGGGGAAAGGACTAGTAGGGAGGTAGTAACAGGAGAGTGGCTGGCAGCTTTGTTTATTACTTGGAATCTCAGGATGGTAACTAAGCAGCCTGAGCCTTACTTACTTAGGATGCAATCTGGATGTGACACTTCCTAGCATAAGTACTAGGATTCACAGGATGCAACCAGACTTGACACCCAAGTACCAGATATACAGGATGCAACCAGACTTGAAGTCTACGTACTAGATGCACAGGACACATAGGACACAGAGTCCTTCCTACTTGTACAGGATGCACTGCCCACATGTGTGACACAGGATTTATTTTCACTGATGTTGGTTCCTGTGAGCTCAAGGGGCTTGTATATTACTTTTCATATTTATAAGAGTAATAGTATATAGACTTGCAGAGACTATAGCTCTATAACTAACTAATTAATATAATTCAACTAAGTCTTATCTTATAGAGTAAAGCTTCTTCTTTATTATCTAATGAAAACCCCTCAGTTACATGCTTCGAATCTCTATAGAGTAGGCTGCATAGATGCCTTATTGTTTCATATAATAATATCTTATTGTCATAATAACTACACTGGAGCCTAGAGTTAAACACATAAACTTATACATTTATTTATTTGCTGTACCATTTACACTTCTATATATAATACTTTCTCTTTTCTCTCTTAGTTTCTTCCTACTACTATATCATAAACAGTACTAGTAAGAGGAATATTAAAAGACCTACAAATCTTAAATACATGGCTCTCTCATGCAACCTATAAATCCTCCATCTTGTCCGTTAGCTAAGATACTTAGAAGGAATACGTTTATGGGCATGGCTGTGAAGAATAGGTGCCATTATTTCCTGGAACAAAAAAGGAAAACAAATTATAGGGTAGTGGTTGAGTGGTAATAATCTTTATAGAGGAAAGTGGTTATGTAGGATTGTCAGACTCACTAGTGTACCATATTCGGTTAATTTTGTCAACGCACAATACGCTGGTACAGTACAGGAAGTTACCTCATAATTTCTTCTTAGTGGATAGCCATATTACCCGGCTTGAAGCTGAGTGCGGGTCCCTGAATCTCCGCATCATCTTAATTTCACCGTTGCCCGGAATGTTACCATCCGCAGTTTGAGGAAAAAGTGGTTACCTAGTCAACCGGATATCGTGTACTGTACAAGTAATGTACGTTACCTACTACTAGTATTTAATGGCAGTAAATCGCACCTTGAAAGTATTTCTCCCGACTCCTTAATTTTCCTCAGCTTTATCCACCGCCGATTCATTACCGATAAGACACTAAGAACAGTTAATATGCCTGGGCCTTCTCCTTGCCGTAAGTATAACCATTCATTCAACCTCCCTTTGGTCACGGGTTAACGAAGGTGTTTTGGTTAGTATATACCCGTGATTTAGTCGGACCAGCAGCGACTGTAATTTGCGGTGCCTTTCTTTTTGCTATGGATATCCTGATAAGATCGGATATTCAACAAACGCAAACGAAAGTTGACAGCATCTACATCGACCTCACAATCGCCAAGGCAGACATCAAAGATGTTAAGACCGAGTTGACCACCATGAAGTCCGAGCTTACCACTGTCAAAAGCGACATTATGGGCATACAAACCAATGTTACAAACACAAGAAACGACCTCCTCAATCAAATCCGTTATGCGAGGCATGTTGCCGGAAGCTCCCCTTTGGCATTTATTTCACCTGACCGCAAGAAATCCGGGGCCGATGAGAAGGATTCTTAATAAAAAATCCATCGAGGTTGCCTATAAGGTAAGGAGATACACTTACTGCTGCTTGCTCTAATTGGTGTCGCTAAAGTACTCGAGTAAGGGGGATTGGTTGCTAGAGATGATAGAGGCTATGGGGGCTGGACTGTAAGAGATGATAGAGGTGATGGGGCTGGACTGCTAGAGAAAAATACAGGCCATGGAAGCCGGAGGCCCGATTTGGGCTCATAAAAATTAATGAATAAAAATAATTTGTTACGTCTTTTGTCCAACTCATATAACAACAGTGATGAGACTGTAAAAGAATGATAATTATATAACCTACTACTCAAAACAAATAGCTGACCAGATAGCATACCGCAATCAAAAAATCTGGCAAGAGCTAAAACTCTACTCGTACATCTAAACATCCCCCTCACCCCCCCGCACTCACATTTTACTGTATTATCATTTATCCACCCCCCGAGCTACCAACCTTTTTCACCAAAGGCTCCGGCTCTCCCAGGCGGGAGGATCGAGGTTAGTCCTATTCTCTGAAAAGCTAGTTGGTCGTTTTAAATAAAAACGAGGAACGGCGACAAGGAAACGGCTAGGTGGCTGACAGCGAGAGGGCGAAAGGTCAAACGAAACGATGCGAAATGACAATTAGTCGCTCTACAGAACCAGGACTTATATCACCAATACCAGACTTGGAGAAACAGGGGAATTTAGCTCTCACCCAACACTCACGCCCACTGCCCGCTTTCCCGCCCAACCCAGTTAACTAAACTAACTAAGCGGAAAAGACAGGAGTATACATCAGTCGTCGCAAAGGCATCATGCAAGCTCCCACCGATCACCACACATATCCGCGTGAGCTCTCCTTCCCTCCGCGCACTCCCATGCGAACAGATGAAAGACAGGCTTTATAAGAAAGGACTGGCTTCGTCGAGAATGGCTCCCAATTGTTCGTAGCTTCCTCGCAGCCCTCTTGACCCCCCCGCAGCCGCACCGCTTCCAAGGGATGTGCCGTTTCCTCCCACGTATGCCCCGATCTAAATCAAATCCCCAAAACCTTCATGCGAACAAATGAACGAAAGCGAAAGTACGAATGAGCACATGAACATGCGAACTCACAATGAACGAATGACTAATGGTAAACACTCCAACCCTTCAAGCACGGCGAGTAGCATTCAAGGTTCCAAACAGGTTGGTCAGCCAGGGAACCCCTGAGTTTCTTCTGGCCGACAAGGCTGACTTCGTTGTTCTCCCCGCGAAGATCGGACTCGACCATTCTAATCATTGGTGTCTCTTGAACGGAGAGGCCTTTCATAACGCTTTTCTTCCAGCCATCAACGCCGGATTGGTCACGCTCAATGTCCTCCATTAGAGAGCCAACTTTCGCGTCCATGCTTTTTGCCGGGTCGGCATCTTCGCTCCTCTCAGCCTCCGCCTCAGCCATCTTATTGCTCCATCCTCCCACCAACCCCGAAGCTTCCTCCCATTCCTCCGGCCACCCCAGTTCCTTCGCCAGCTTTTCGACCCCGTTATCACTCGTCCAGCAAAGGCACATCATCCGCCTGCCCACCACTCTCCCCTGCCCCCTCATTGCAAATTAAAACCTTAACAGCCCCTCCTCCACCTGTCCCAGAAGCGCGGCAAAGGGAAAAGCATTTAACCAACTCTGCACAACAACTATCAAGTCCACCTTCTCGGCCATTCTTTCATTCCTCTGTATTAACTTTTTCTTTAATTCTTTTTATAGTTTTTTTTTTCTTTTCTTTCCCACCAATACATAGTAGTAGTGCATCCACGCCTATCATGGGTACGGCAATGACGGAGCCCAATGGACAGGAGGGTAGCAAAATAGCTGCCTGTCTAAAGGAGCAAAGTAGGACGGAGCGGTGGTTACCGGAGCACGAATTGCTGAGTGAGCAAGTGAGTGAGCAAGTGAGTGAGCGAGCGAGGGGGTCATGAGTTGGTATGGTAGGGTGTGGCACCGGCACCGGTAGGGTGGCCGCATGACAGGATACCATGTGGTGGGGTGCGGCATGCATAGGCTGCGGATTTGTGAGCGAGTGAGTGAGATTCGGTGATTTAACTTAGTTCCGGCTCGTGACTTTGGTGCGGCCAAGATATGATTCGGGTACCGTACAGCACGAGAGTTTGGAGATGTGTACCCGGATATTACTCGAGAAGAGTGATTATTATGCTATAGAAACTATCCCAAAATATATCTCGTGCACTTCATCCAGGCCCCCTGCGATCACCGAGTCTTTCGTGCGTATCACTCGCTGCTCGTTGCCTGGCTCTTATCCTTGTTCTCCCCCCACCTCCACCTCCACCACCCCCTCCTCCTCCCGTACTAATACTACTCCCGCTGCCACCGGTAGAAACTCCACTACCCAGCCCCATTGTCATTCCCATCACAGCACCGCCATGCTCATCCGCCATATCCCAGTCCTGGTCACACCCAGGTGGTTTATTCCGAATCCTCTGGTATAGCCGGTCAAGCGTGAACTCGATCTCACATCTAACCCGGATAAGTTCCACGGCAGGCCAGATGCTCCTTTCACCCTTCAGAATCCAGTAGTCCAGCGTCTCGGACGTGGGGTTTTCCAGCAACTGTTCAAAGTCCATCACCTTCAAGTGCGGGACTACGGTTATGCTGGCACCCGGGATGGTCTCGTCCACCAGAAAACGGCGGACCGAGAAGGGGAGGAGGCCCAGGAGGTCGAGTTGGCTGAGGCGGTGGCGGAGCTCCAGTCCAAGTAGCCTGAGGAGTTTTAGGGTTATGCCGCGACGGCGGTGACGGTGGAGGTCAGAGGTTAAGAAAGGGGCTAGGTAGGGTCTTGCTTGGGAGACTATGAAGTGGTTTACGTTGAAGAGCTCTGCTATCCTAGTCGTGGGTGCTTCGCGATCGGTGTAGGAGACTCGGGTCCATGGCTGCCAGACAATTTCCTGTGCGGCCCAGGGGACTATGGTACCGTTTTCATCTTTACACATCAGCTCTACCCTGTCGTACATTGTTGATGTCGCGTTTGATGCGCAGGCTGCAGACCAGATCAGGACGTTTGGCGCTGTGACGTAATTTAGTAGAGTCGGGACTTCGTTCTTTCCAGCTGTGGAGACAGTGATGTTTAGGATTCTTTTAGTGCGTGTGTAGGCTTCTTCAAACGTTAGGTCTCCGACATTTGCTCGCACACATTCCTCCAGAACTTTGATGTCCAGGAAGTATCCATATTGCAGGAATCGGTTTATCTTCCTTTTCCAGCTGCCTTCTTTCTTTTTAGTATCGAAAGCACTGAGGTCTATGCCACCGCCCGCCAAGAACCTGAGCAGCTCATCCTCAGTATGGATTCCAACGAGAGCCGCTATAAGTGCTCCAACTGCGGTTCCGGTAATGATTCTTGGTAATAGGCCACGAAGATGAAGAGCTTTTACGACTCCTAGGTGGTACAAGCCGAATATTGCCCCGCCCTGGAGAACCAGGGTCGAACGGCCAAACGATTGGCGAGTATCATGAAGAAAGTCAAGCTTTGATTGCGATGTCAAGGATGCCAGGGGCGGGAGCGAGGCAATATGCTCCAGGCAGATCCCGACTTCTGAGATATAGTGTTCAATCAGCCGCTTGCTTCCAGCGTAAGACCGATTATACAGATTTATATTGGTGATATTTCCGAGATTTCTCAAGAGACCTAATTATATCATTTAATCAGCACCCGACACCTGCATGGACAAGAAAGGATACTGGCATGAGAGCATATATACCGGAACGTAGAAGGCTCACCAACCGTAAGGCGTCCCCCCCCTTCCTGGACACCGATAAACTCCGAAGTCGGTCAAGGATGAGTTTATAGTCATAATATTTGCTTGTCGGATTTTGCCGCCTTTTTAATACAATCAGTGTGACATAGCGAGTGGGTGGCGGTATGCAAGCACTTGTACGGGAGCATGATGGGTAGACCGATAAGAGCGCATGCAACAGAACTCACCAAAGGTCATTTCCCAACACTTCGTCCAACCGGGTTGCAATCACTTCCCACTCCTCGTAAGATTTTGCAGCTGCAAGCTTCTCCAGAAGCTCTTCTTTTGGCTTCTTCCGTGTATACCACCCCCAAAGCTTCTATTCCGTGCTTAGCCAGGCATGACGTCAGAGGACAAGCGGTGTAGAGAACCTTTTGCCAGAAAAGTGAAACCTCTACAAATACGTTGCATATTGATGCTACGAGTACGATGACACTAGACTACCCGATAACAAAGTCAGTCGGGGCACACACTCCACTGATGATATGGAGCTAGCGGGAACAACACTCACAGGCATAATGTTAAACATGGCTTCTATTGGCCGATACATTCGAATAGGCAAGAGATGCAGGGAGAACAAACAATCTCGTTGAGCGAGAAAAGAGAAAAAGAAAAAAAAATACTGACTCGATATAAATACGATATTTCAAGCTCGGTGGTTGCAACGGTGGTGGTAACGGAGGGAAAGGAACTCACCCGGGGAACGTTTGAAGGTTTGGGTCTCGTGTCTGTGAATTTTTAACTTTCCCTTTTCACGTGCCAAAGTTTCCTTAGTCCAGCAGACTACCTGTACTGTACTGTACTCGAGCACAGTGTACTATACACCACAGTGCTGCATTGGTATCATACGATCTTGGTGACAAAGACTTTCCATACAATTTGACATTGAGATCCACATAATGGAATGCCGTGTCACAGAACACAGAAACCGCTCTAAAGGATTCCAAGCTCAAGGGTCCTCAATGTCTACCGCCAAAACAGTGCCGAGACAAGCAATTTGAATGGAATTTCCATATTGCAACCATACATCTTAGCTAACTTCTTTTCCCCACCACCGGTCTTGGGCGGAACAAAAGAAATCAGTGGTTTTGTACGCCTAATTCCTTGTGGTTGGTTCCCTTCAATCTAATTGTTCTTCCAGGAGGAAAATCTGCTGCACATCTTTGTGTAAGTTGGCCAACCCTGCGCATTTTGTAGGGAAACCCTGGGGGTATCCGTTTCCTTTGTCGCCAAACCCGTACTCGTACTAGTACATTCGCATCCGCAAAGTTCTCGGACTCCAACAACTCCTGCCCCTACATAACAAGGCGGGAACTACTCTCCCTCAAGAGTTCTTTCTTAATCTGGTGATAGCAAATTTCATGGAGCACTTCCCTATTTTATTTTATTTTATTTTTCTAGGAAATAGCTTCTGTAACTATCCGGTACGGGTAGAAGAGTGTAGAGGCTCCGTGATACATCAGACGTAGTGAGAACCTTTCGGAACAAGGTACTCACACAGTACAGTGCAGCCCTGCGTCATGGCCCAACCACCACCTATTCTTATTTTTTCCGTTGGCAACTGCCATCTTGACAAGCGAGAGGAGGAAAAAAAAAAAAAAAAAAATCTGTGGGCTAAGCTCAGCTCCGGTCAAGGTTTACTCGGGTAGGTCCAGTTCAGCCCCCGAGAGTAATGGCTAGAGACCGCAATTCGATACTTGTATCATACAATACCGGCCGGAAGTCTCACCCCATGTACTGTACTGTACAAGTATCACAGGCCGCATTTCAGGGTGCTGTACTGTACTGTGCCGTTATTGGAAACCCGATCAGATTCCCGCTTCACTTGTACCGTATGATACAGGTACAGCACTGCTGCTGCATTCTAGCCACCAGCCACAATGCTACAAGTATGATACGAAGTGTGATACTATCTCCTTTGGTCCATATTCAAAGTACGTAATATCACTCGTACTGAACCGGCATGCCGGTATCATATAATTTATGATAATAATCCCCCCTCCCTCCTTCCTCCCCTCTCTTCTCTTCTCGAACCACCCGTGTTTATCCACCACACCGGAATACGGTACTGGCACAAGTATGGAACTCTGTGTGGCGCCCAATGCCTCCCCTTCGTCCATCATGGTACATACACACAAACTGATATCCGCACCCTGACATCACCACCACTAATCTGCGGTCTTGGGTGCTGGTGTGGTTTGCATGGGTTGTTGATAGCTGGTGTCCACCTTGCACAGCCTATGCAGCTCCTCTTCATCCCTCCACACCTCTGAATTACCAGTACTGTACGTTCCCGATCAGCATCGAAGTACACACTCAATCTGCTGCTGCCATCCATCGACACAGCAACCACTTCCCATCACCTTCTCCCCCCACATCTCCCCCACATCTCCCCCCAAAGTTCTCCAACCTTAACCTCCCTGCACATCTACCGGCACTGCTCATCGACCACTCTACTCACTCTAGATTGGAGCAGTCATTACCTTTTCACGATCGCCTATTACCATCTAGTGTGTCGCATTTGTCCTAGCCTTCCAAGATTGCTGTCCGCCGTTGCTAGCTGAGCACTTTTCGTCAGGGAGATGGCACCTCCTGCTGCTATGAGCCATCATAGAGCGGAAAATGCGCAGCCCGTTTCTTCCTCAGGAAGCACTTTGAACCCCCGGGCAAACCCCTATCTAGCTGTATCCTCCGTTTCCCAGCTGGCTCCTCCCACTCAAGCCGAGGTTCACCAGACGGTCACGGGTTTGGGGAATGGTGACCAGCCCACTCAACCAGCCTTGACAAACTCCGCTCCACGGCCTTCATCTATACGAACGGCACCCTTGAGGGGAAACCCAATCTCGTCCAGACGCGGTTACCCAGGTTCTCTGGGTAGAGGAGGTCCAACCAGAGCCAGGAGTAACGACGGATCCCATCGTAGATATTACAACGAGCGCGCTCTACCCATGCTCACCTCGCTACCTAGCCGTGCCGAAATCCTTGCTCCTCCCCGGTCCGCTGCACGAAACACGGGTGACCGTGGTGACGTAGGACGGGGCCATCATAACGGCAGAGAAAACGGCCGCCCCGGTTACAACAACTCCCGTCCCGGCCCACATACGGACGCAAACAACCACTTCCCATCCGAAAACCCAACTCCCATGGGGTCCAGCGCCAACGCTCCGAACGGCAATAATAATACTCACAGCTCTCGGGGGCTCCCTATCCTGATGCAGAACGACTGGAAGGGGACCGACGAGACCTCTATCAGAGTCTCAGGTATCCCGCTCTCGTTGAATTTGTATAATCTTTACGATATCTTCTCCGAGTACGGCGAAGTCGAGTACTTGGAGCTTTATCAAAACGATGCGGGTATCCCAGATGGCAATGGAAGGGTTAAACTTTCGTGAGTATCGCTATGATACCTCCCATTTTACCTTTTGCCGCTGACTGTGGATCAGCAATGTTAAAACGTCCTTTTGGGATGGCCACTTCGTTTATACCTTAGGGGTGATGGGCCCTAGTGGCTCGCTAAAGCTCCGCCTAGACACTCAACATAAACGTAAGACGGTTCAGAGTCCTATTGATAGACAAAAGAGCTATCCACAAAAATATGTTTGCATCCCCCGGCTCCTATCTGTGATGTTTCAGACGTAATTTCTAACGGTTCTCCCCCGACATAGGTTTTCAAGCTCAGTCTACTCCAATTCGGAGTATTGTGCCAAGAGGACACAATGATGCCGATGTTCACAACCGCGGGCCAAGACGAAGCAAGCCTTGAAGTTGACCTGTACCGCCGAGCTCTCGATATTGTCTTCAAGATATGGCTAAAAAAAGATACCGGCGCCAATGCCAATCAGCGACAGGAAGATGCGGACGATGATGATGATGATGATGATGATGATAATGATGATGATAATGATGATGATGATGATGATGATGATGATGATGACGAGGGGGACGATAGTACGCCTAAAATCAAACCCGCTGAAAGATTCGAGAGATATCGCCTTCGGATTCCCTTCTCCCACTTGGAGCAACTCATTGAGGTGGATACTTCATCTGCTTCGGGCCGTGCATTCTTGATCGATCTCCCTTCGGCACCTTTCTTCTGGAGAAAGCTACACGATCCGCGCCTATCTATTGATGAACGCGTGAAGTTCTGGACCTCTTGGAACGCTTGGTTCCGTCAAACGTCTATCACATTCGATAACAGTGCAAGAAAGGGACTTTCCGTCTCCCTAGAGCAACGCGGTGAAATTATCAACATTGGTTTGTATATATGCTATTCTACCAGTGCGTTTTCCAGCGCTAGAAACATATCCGCTAACCAAAATACTAGGCCGTTGGACTGCCTATAGATTCGAAGTAGGGGCTAGGGAGGCCGAGTCTGATGGCTTCGGCGAGATGATTTCTGCGTTGAAAGATTTCAACATCAAGGTTAACGTCCAAAAGGATTTCAAGACGTTCTCCGAGAAATCCTACTGCATCTGGGACTACATCGGCATCCAAGGCATCCAGCGTGCTCAGCAATCGGATTCTATTCTAGCCCAACTCCAAGCTTCATCCCCCCTCCTTTCCTATCCTGTTCGCTACCAGCTCGAGGTCTGTATCTCGCATAATTGCCTCAACGAGTATAACATCACTCCTCCATTCATTGACCGTCTGGCAGCGCTTCCTGTAAACAAAGCTATACCACTGCTGGAACATGTTGCTGAGAAAAGAATCCGTTATTATGACCCCATGGCCATCTTTGCCATTCAAGGGATCACCGGGAGTACAATTCACTTAAAGCTTCCTGATCACTGCCAACTCCTTAGAAAAGCCAATGTAACCCCATCAACTATTTATTTTACTACGCCTACTGTCGAGATTACCAATCGGGTGGTGAGGCAGTATTCTGAGCACATAGACAGGTTCTTGAGAGTCCAGTTTGTTGACGAAAAGTTTCAGGCATATCTCTCACTACCTCTTTTATCTACAATAGACACTAACCGTCTCCAGGGCCGCATAAATTCCACCGACAAAAAGACCATGCATGAGGTCTTTACCCGTGTTAAGGCCGCCCTGGACCATGGCATAACTGTCGGCGATCGAAAGTTTGAATTTCTAGCTTTTGGCAATTCGCAAATACGTGAACATGGAGCATATTTCTTTGCCTCGACCGACCATCTTTCTGCAGCAGATATTAGAGCATGGATGGGAAGCTTCAAGGATATTAGGATTGTTGCAAAACATGCTGCAAGACTCGGCCAGTGCTTCTGTGAGTACATCTACACCCTCCAGCGATGGCTCTACTGATTTATTTCCTCAATGGTAGCTACCACCCGTGCAATCAGCGGAGTACGAGTTGATGTTCGCACTACGGAGGATATTGTGAATGAGGAAGGGTACAACTTTTCCGATGGAGTTGGAAAGATTTCTGAATTTCTGGCGCGGTTGATCACCACGGAGCTTCGTCTCAAGTTGGTCGACAAGGAGCCTGCGCCCTCATGCTTTCAGTTCCGTCTCGGAGGCCGCAAGGGTGTCTTAGCAGTTAGCCCAGATGCCAGCCATCGCGAAGTCTACATCCGGCCCAGTCAGCTCAAATTCGAGGCCAAGCATAACATTCTGGAGGTTATACGCTGGTCCAAGTTCGCAACTGCCGCCCTCAATCGGCAGCTGATCACCGTACTGACTAGTCTGGGTGCTCCCGATCGCTATTTTGAGGACAAGCTTCAATTTATGCTGAGATCCTATGAGGAAGCGATGGTTGATCCGGGGGTTGCGGTCAGGCTACTTTGCAAAAATGTCGACCCCAACGAATCTACCTTGGCCATCGCGGCTATGATTCGTGCGGGGTTTATGGATCGACAGGAACCGTTTGTCATTTCTATGCTGAAGCTTTGGCGAGCGTGGACCATTAAATACCTGAAAGAAAAGGCTAAAATTATGATTGAAGAGGGCGCATTTGTGCTCGGGGTGGTCGATGAAACCGGTGCCCTCGATGGCTACTATTATTCTCAAGACGATGGGCCCACGGAGGATGCAGAAAGTCCGGAGACCTTACTCCCTCAAATCTTCATACAGGTCACCGACCCAGACCGGCCCGGGGAATCCAGGATTATTGAGGGACCATGTGTAATCGCACGAAACCCTTCTCTTCACCCCGGTGATGTTCGCAAGGTCATGGCTGTTAACGCCAAAGAGCTACACCATTTGCGTAATGTTGTCGTATTCTCACAGAAGGGGGACCGCGATTTGCCCAATATGCTCTCTGGAGGTGATCTAGACGGGGACGATTATATCGTAATTTGGGACAGAAAACTCACCTCATGTGTAAGCAACTACGAGCCAATGAACTATTCAGCACAGACTCCGAGAGAATTGGCACGTGATGTTGAGATTGGTGACATTACCAAATTTTTTGTCAACTACATGAAGAACGACAAGCTAGGCACCATAGCTAATGCTCACCTTGCATGGGCAGATAAGCTTGACGAGGGAGTGAAGTCCGATCAATGTAAATCAACTCACCCACTCCTACTCCTTCATAGTATGCTAAGAATCGATAGGTTTTCGACTCGCAACCCTTCACTCTCATGCAGTTGACTACGTGAAATCAGGGGAGCCAGCTATCATGCCCCCAGATCTCCGCCGAAAGTCATTCCCTCACTTTATGGAGAAGGAGCCTGATAAAACTTATCGTTCCGACAAGATCCTAGGAGTCTTGTACGATTCCGTGTCGAAAATCGATTTCGTTCCTGCCTTCGAACTGGAATTCGACGATCGTATCCTCAACGCATATACCCTTGATGAGAGTATACTTGAGGTTGCACGGGCAATCAAGATTCGATACGACGCGGCAATGCGCCGGATATTGGCCCAACACGATATCTATACCGAGTTTGAGGTCATATCTACATTTGTCATGCATCACTCGATGGCAACGAAGGATTACAAATTCCATGAAGACGTTGCTAACATTTGCAATAGCTTAAAAGACACCTTCAAGAAGATCATATTCGAAGTTGTAGCTAGCAAAGATGATATCATTTTAGGCCCCTTTATCGCAGCCATGTATTCTGTGACGCATCAGGAAATGGCAAGGGCGAAGAAGAAATTCTTTGCTGCAAAAGCTAAAAAAGCGGCAGAGAGGGCAGCCAGGAGGGCCAGCGGAAATGAAAGGGCACCAGGGGAGGGAAACATTCCCGCGGGCGTGAAGGATGCGGAAGAACTGGCGGAATTCACCATTGAGGAAGCCAGAAACATGCCGCTGATTTCATTCCCCTGGCTCTTTGGAAGAGCGTTGGGTAGGATTGCGAACCGGGAGTACCCATTCACGAAATTGGACGGCAGCCCAGTAGACTTCAAACAGGCCGCCGCTGTCACTGACGAACTTGAGGGTCGCATGGGTAAGAAGGAGAAGTACCCCACCTACCGCCATGGCATCTACGACGATGCAGTTGCCACCACCACCACCCCAGGAATCCGGGAGGATGGAAACAACATACCCGACAACTCTCGGGACGGAGAGAGTAGCTTGGGAATATCTCAACGCGAAACCGATCTTCAAGATGTCTCCACCACTACCGACAATACCACAACCACCATCGAAACCGCCATCGCCGACACCTCCTCCGATAACAACACCGGATATGACGGCGGAGAGGCTAACCTCATCTAAAAGTAAGAGGAGGTAAAGGGGAGGTAGGACGCAACCTCAGTTCAAACTGCAATTCGTTCACCTTTAAATCTCAAAAAAAAAAAAAAAACATTCTTTTTCTTTCCTTTTCAAACAGCTAGGCTTACTTTTTATGTTTTACCTTCTGAGGGATACCAATTTGTTTGTTTTGTATTGCCCTGCTTTCCTTCTTCCTCACCCCTCTCTCTTTCTCTTTACCCTTACTGGAGAGAATCTGGGTCCGGGCTCTGAGATTGGGTGGGACGGAGACGAACACCAATTAGCAAATGACATGAGACTACGAGATATGATAGTTTACTTTTTCTTCCTCTTTTTCTCACAACCGGTGACTGCAAGCGCAAACAGCCCGTTCCACACTTGTTACTTTATCTTATTCTTATGATGCAAAAAGACAAGACTTGATTCCATACCGTATCTGACACCACGATGACCAAAGCATTTTAAGCATAGAATATGGCACTGGGCCGACACCATTGCGTGCTCCTGCGCCTTGTCTTCCATCCCGTTCACGAACTATAATCCCTATCACAGGCGCACCGGTGGCACCATTGTAACCATATTGCTCTATATATGCCCCATTGTACCATATCCTTTGTGTCAGCAATACCGTACGATGCAGACCCTGTAAGGTGTCCAATATGGATGATTAGGGTCAATAGCAACGATCATCTCTAGGTATGGTGCAAAGTGTTCTTAAAGTATAGTGCTATTCACTTAAAACGTCCACCTGGGTACATGCAACACATAACATTCAACCACCCTAGAAATTAACCCTATTAATTTTAAACTGTAAAATTCTACTAACCCTCTTCCTAATTCATAATACTTCCCAGGTGCAGGGACTACTTTCTGCTATGATTTTCTTCTATGGTTTTTCTAATAATATTGTTATCTTTGTAACATCTAATTTTACTTGGTATCAGTTCTTGTTTTTAATTATATCAAGACCAAATACTGTAAAGAACAAATCTGGTTCAACTCCAAGTCTGTATTACTACCTATAGTAATATACCCATAGGACCTATACAGTACTTTCCATATACAAGTTCCTTATGCACTACAGATACATATACAACTCAATTGTGATAAGCTTCCATGATTGAACTAGTCCTTGCATGGTATTTTCATATCAGTGTATTTGGATTATTGTATATTGAGAGTTAAATTGTATTAATTATATGATCTCATTCTAAATTGTACAGAAAGTATGGAGCAATGCAGCTGCCTTTAGTTGTTAGAGTTAATTTCTAGGACGGTTGAGTGTTACATGTTGTATGGACCCAGGTGGACATTTTAAATGAATGGCACCATATACCAAGCTGTTGCATTATGAAACACCTGGATTTTGTTAGGGTTGAGGGTTATATGAAGCAAACAATAACTTTGAAAGCTCAATTCACCCACATGTCATATTTTCTGTAGCATTGTTTTAGGTTCCAGGAACATAATGATATTGTATTATTATTTTTTGCTTCTATATTTGTAACTAATATTGCAAGTGTTTATCTTCATTCCTCAGGCTCTAAATCAAGCAGACTTGCGAGGGATTACAAATCCTAGTACCAGAAACATTAATTGGTATACCAAACTGTTACACATATGAACACACAGACCTTCCCCGCGCACAGACCTCCTGAAAACCGCGAAAAATCCATGGCCAACACCCCCCTCCGGCTCCGCCGTTCGCCCTGCGCGCAGTAGTAGAGTCGCCGGAATTTGGTGTCCCGACAGTATAAACCGGTTGAAACGAAGCATGCTTCATAACACCGTATACGTCGTCGCCGTCCGTCCGACCGAAAGCTGTTCGCAGGATATATAAGAGGGGACCTCAGGCCGTATCTGAAAAGTGGAACGGAGTCAATCGGACGGGTAACCATGGAGCTAGAGGCTAAGCGAGATTGACCACCTCGGACATGGACACAAAGTGTTGGGACGAAATCACCAACAGTCCAATGAGTTATCGGGACATGCCCGTATGGATGAGGCACGGAGCCCAGTCTTACGCTCACATAGTATAGAGCCAACCGGAGGCCTAGCTATAGTTGAGGGACTTTCCCACGACGTTGACTAGTCCGATCAGGGCGGAAAGTCCTCAATGTTGATGCAGTCAAGTTGCAAAGTCAACGGTGCATTGATAAGTCTCTCGACGGAGCTGATCACTCCAGTCAGAGTTAGGAGGACAGCGAGTTGGCTCGAAGCGAGACCACTCGCTTGTACTTAAACCTCCGAGACAAAGAGATCATGCGTTTTCACCGGAGAAGTTTCAAACGCCCTCACGGAAACACGACAACGCATGGAAACCGTAGTCCGAGCAAGATGCAAAGTTTATCAGGGTCAAGCGGATGCCCATTAGGATAGTAAGGGTAGGAAGTAGGAAAGGGTACATTGTTTGGTATAAGATAGATGTAGCCCGCGACCACCCAGACGCGGAATATAAATATCGAGGTGTCTCCTTAGCTATCAGAATCATCAGCGAACGGAGAAGAGATCTTATCAATATATTCGTTATACTTTGATACATACTTTTGTTACAAGCTTTCTTGACCACTCTCCGAGAAACATTATTGGCCCCAGTTACAATTCGTCAGACCTAGAATTGGCTGCCGCCTAACACAAACAAGACTACTAACTTGGAAGTATTAGACAAAGTCACAGAGAATGATGGAAGTGTATTGAAGTAAGGTAGTTTATAGTAGTTTATGCTTCATCAGAATATGAGAGGCTTACCAATCGGTACTATAAGTCACACCAATGTATCAATAATTTGTGATAATTGATATAACAATACAATTGGTTCTTATGATAACAAATTGCAGTCATGTTTTCTATTATAAATAGAATATGATAGATGAGAAACTTGTATGGTTCGTGCCATTCAAAACCTGCACCAGAAATTCCACAACTTTTAAATCGACAAGGCTTTACAACTAGCAGCATTATGGGAAAAAAAAAAACCTCAGTGTTGAAGAGAACTTGATGGAGAATAACCGTGAGGTTTTCTTTTATTTTTTTTGTTCCTGGTTGGAGATCCTTGCAAATTTGAAAAGTTGTACTTTTGGTGAGAAAGAGAGAAAAATGTTACATCAGCCACAGTTTGATTTCTTAGTAATTAGAGATTCATTATTCAGGAAATAGGATTTTAGCTTAAAAAGATCATATTATGCACTGAAAAGAGTAAATATAACCTGTAACCTATAAGCAATATTATTAACCCTAATGACAACAACTATTATTTCTCTAGTATATATAATAAAACAGTAGAGAGTTGGATTAATGTATAATACTATATTTTAAAAGATTATTGTATATATTTGTTAATATTTTAACATTTCTCTTCTCTTGTTATTTTTATTATAACCTCATATTATTTATCTTTAAATCTATTTAAAATATATTATTATTTAAACCCTTGACCATAATTCCATGGAAAATTCAAGGCTTGGCATCAACTGAGGTACAGCCACATGTAACACATCACTTCAGCCTCGTGCAGGTTTTGAATGGCACGAACCATAGTTTCAAGCCTTTTAAACATATAACCCTCAACCCTGACAAAATTCAAGTGTTTCATGATGCAACAGCTTGGTACACCTTAAAGACACCCCACACCATACCCAAAGGTCGCATACCGGCAATAGCAGCATCCACGGCACGAAGGTATCAGATTATCCGTCTAATCTTTCCAACATTTCCTACCCCCCAATTTTTTCACTAGAAGGAAATGAAAACATCAAAGGATACCCCCCCCCCCCCCCAGTCAAAGCGTGAAAAGGTCAATTCGAAAACAAGTGTTATTTTTAAAATGGGAAGGAAAAAAAAAATCAAGAACAGAGAGTTCTTTTTAAAAATATTTTTCTTTCAGAAGGACCCACAGTTTCGCTGATAGATGCAAAGGGAAATTATTAACATGAGCGGGGGGACTGGTACGATATGATACTAGCAACCGCTTCCTAGTCACACTTCCTCCCATTTTTTTTATCTGACAAATATGATTCCACCGCTACCAGTCAAATCGGGTGTCTAACCATGGACCTTGTTAAAATACTCCTTTGATTCCTTGGGATTGGCCTTGATGGTTTCGCCTCCCTGGCTCCAGTTGGCAGGGCAAACCTCGCCGTACTAAGTGTTATGTCAGTTTCCATCCACTTGATTGATAGTAAAAGTGTCTCATCATACCTTCTCAGTGAACTTGAAAGCGTCTACAAGGCGAAGAGTCTCATCAACCGACCTTCCGACAGGAAGATCATTGATAGTGATCTAAAAATCACCCACATTAGCCACGAAAAGGATATCTGATCAAGTCATATGCGCTTACTTGTCTGATCGTTCCCTTGGGATCGATAATGAACAAACCCCTGAGGGCGACACCGTCCTCTTCAATCAAAACCCCATAATCCTTGGCAAGCTTATGGTTCTTATCACTGAACAAGGGAATATTGACATTCCCAAGACCTCCGTCCTTACGTTCGGTGCTGGACCAAGCTAGCAAGCTGTGACATTGTCAGCTAAATCTCCCATCCTAACCATCCCAACACCAACACTGAGTGCGACTACACTGACCTGTACTCAGAATCAACAGAAGCAAAGACAATTGAGGCACCACGCTCCTCGAAAGATTTGGTAGCCTCAGAGAAAGCAATGATCTGTGAAATAATATTTAGTTTAAACCCTCGGCTGACCTGTAGGTGTAGAAGGGCCGACTAACTTCGGTCGGACTGATAAAGATGGCAAAGGAGGGTCAGTGATTAATTCCACGGAATGATGTTCAAACCTCAAGAAGGAGGCTACATACCAAACAAAAGTCCAGGCCATGGGGATAAATCCGAGAATGAGCCACTTTCCTTTGTAATCCTCAAGAGAAATTTCTATCGAGGGCAAGTCAGCATCCCTAAGCCTCGTTATCACCCAAGAGACAAAAATGTCGACAGGGGCTAAACATTTGCCAGACAAACTCACCTTCGAAGCTACCATCAACGACAGCAGTTCCCTTGAACGCAGGAGCAGGGTGTTGGACACGAGCGGCCATTGTGACAGATTTTTGCTGTTAAAGTTTGTGTTTGTGAGGGATGTTTGAAGGTTGGAGAGCTGTTGTAGATTGGTAAGGGGTTGGAAGTGGATGTAGGAGGGCAAAGATGGAAGGAGAGAGAGAGGAAAGGAGGAAAAGAGTGAGGACGGACGTGTGGGCTGACCTTAGCTTATAAGTCGCACGAGAAGGGAGCAGTACGCACTCACCTTCCCTAGCTAAACCATTTGGTTCTTTTTCTTTTTCCCTCTGGTGAACGGGCCGCAGCAGAAGCACATTTGCACCCTGTTCACAATTATGCAGGTTACAGAATCCCTGACAATCAGGTACCGCTGCGAACACCAAGAACAGATAATAATAATAATAAAAACAAAAGAAGCAAAGGGAGGAAAAATCAAACAAAGGAAATTATTACAGTACGGTATGTTCAAACTCTATCTACGGCAGGAATAATATTGAAAACCGGGAAAACAAAAGAAGGCCGCAGATGCAGGTTCCGAGGTGCGGTATCTCGACTTGTATTACTCAGCAAATTTAAAGGAAGTTCAACTCGTGCAACCCTCTCGACTTCCCCAAGATCCAGAATCCCAGATCCTGAAGTCAACAGCATGTTGAGCCTATCGTAAGGGGATTGGCGAGAAAATCGGTTCACTATATTATACAAGTGCTCGAGCAGCATTGGTGGACAATGAATGGATGGATGGGATCAAATGGATGACATTCTTTATGTCTGGCATGAGCGAGCAGGGAAAGAAAGCGAATCTCTCTCGCTGGGAGGGACAATACAGCACCGATACAGTACCAGCACGGGCACTGCGCCCTCGGATCAATCACCGAAAGACTGACCTCTGGCCGTCTCCTAATCCCGCCTTCTTTTCTCCGTCCTGATTCACCCCCCTTCAAACAAGTCACGGATGAAACTAGGGATGGATGGGTCTGAAAAAAAGCACATAAATACCAGTCTCCCCAGCCGATTATCCCTCCAAATCGAAGAGCTACCGTACTGCATACTGTACCGGTACTCTACTCGCCCGGCAACGTTGAAGTTGGACACCTTCCAGCCCAAACTCTGACGCGCTAATACAGTGCGGTCTCTGCCGCTCCATCGTTGAGTTCAACACATAGCCCGGCCAACCTAAAGGATATCACGCTCCTCCAATCATTCACGCCTGAGTGTTGATCATGGCTACAAGTGCCAGTATCCAAGTGTGAAGAGGCAAATTCATCGCGTTGGATACCTGTATCCCGGCTCACAGCTCCCTAAGCACAGGCTCCCTAAGCACAAGCTCCCTTCCTATCCTTGCCCTCGCACAGACACAAAGCTACCGGTAACCCGAGTATTCTCACGTACCGCTATTGTACTGTGCCTACTACGGTACTGGTGCGAATGCCGACATCCCAACGCTCGTGATCACTTGCTAGGAATCTTTCACCGGTATCATGCTAGTGCGGAGGAAAGCAGTTTTCCGGCCGTATATTACCGCGCAGGTACCCGTACAGCACTATACCCGAGTACCGTGCATAAGTCCGACGCTGCATGCGTGAGTCCTACCTGCAATACGGGACAACAAAAATATACAAATATCGCGGGCTCAATTGTTGGCCCCCCCCAACCACTTTCCCGCACATCATGTTCGTCCGGAAATGCTTTTGTCTCTTCCGCCCAGCACAGTACTGTACGGCGCAACCGCTTCGGGTACCGGTAACCCGATACCCTGCTGCCGGTACGATACTGTATTACCTTGCTCATCCCTAGCATTATGGCCTCCTCTATGGTGCGTTATAATGGCTTTGAGTTTGAAGGGGTGCACTATGCAGCCAATGGTCCCTGGTAACAGCCGGCCGGGCGCTGTTCTGTACCGGTATTACGGTATGTACTTGTACTCTGAAGAGTTCCTGCTTCAATAAATCGATCCGGGTCGGGGTTGGTGATTCTCTAGGCTCAATAGTCGATGGATGGTGTTTCCCTAAAGGTTAAGCCAAGTCTGAGTGCTTTGAATGTTCCGGAAGGGTGCGCGGCATGATACCGGGGCGGAAGTTGGCGGGGCCCCGGAAACTTGCCGACCGGCGGGCTTCCGGTAGACAGGGGTATAATATAAGTCAAGTTTCGCCGAACGCAATCATCACTCTGTCCCTGCCCATCCACAATGCGGCGGAGCACTGTTCCAGTACCGTACTGCACTAGTACGCAATTAAATCCCCAAATATAGATCACTGAACTAGGGATCGCAAATACGTACTATACATTATACAACCATCAACCCTGAGATAATTAGGCTTCTCAGGAGGAGGTGAGGAAATCATAGCCAGAAAAAGCGGGTCACACAAACACTCAAGTACCGGTATACCTGGAGCAATAATGGCTTCAGATTGGTAATCTTTCTTCATTCTAGGAGGCGCCTTTGCTAAAACGTTCGAGAGAAGGCTGATGTCTAGGCATGAATGATGTGTAATGCGTTTCGTTACTGTACCGGTATGATGCTAGACCCTTTGCGCGACTAGATTCTGAAGGGCTGGGCGGAGGGGTCGGATGGCGTCTGGCCTTCCCGGTCGCCTCATTTACCGCACGAGCAATATATTGTAGCACCGTATTATTACTCATGTTATGATGCCGGTGGTCTATCCGCCCACGGTAAGCATTACTGGTAAAGCCCATTTCGAACTCGTTGCGCAAAAGGCTCTAAGGGTGCTCTCGAAACTTGAATATAGTCTAGTACCGGTAATAGCGCCGTGACACCGGTATGATATGTCGTTTGGTTTGCCTCTCTCAGTAAGGTCTGGCCGTTTTTTTTCTCCTGTCCCGGGAGAGGAAAAGGGACCGTGCTTCTGCCGTCTCCTTCGCCTGCTTTCCAGAGAAGGGAATTTTTGACTACATAGCACAAGGTCCAACGGCTCGGATTTCTACGGCTACGGCGCGATAAAGAGCAACCCTCTTTAGCTCTGGATTGCACAACCGGGTGCTGGGCCATGATTGATGCACCGTAATCCAGTATGCCATACTGTGTGACACGATGACAACGATGGACAATGGCGCCCGGAAAGACTGGTGCAACCCCCCGGGGTCGAAGCTTACCGCTCCCCGCGCTAAAATTAAACTGCAGCTGCGGAGGAAAGCGAACTGCGGCATAAGTTACCGGTCGTAGGGGTTATTGACTACGGCACCAATACCATACATCTCGGCACCATACCAGTCCCCGGACGGCAAGCTAGACCTCTTGAAAATGCGCAAACTATCCACCCCAAAAACCTACCTGTACTCGGGCAATATTCTCTCGGACACGATACCACCAGAGCTCACCACTCCACATATCACCGAGGGGTGAAAAAGGGGGGGGCACATCGAGCCTCTGATATTGACCTTCTCCTGCGTGCTCCGGGCTCAACCCGACCGGTACATGCCCGTATTTCAAACTCCACAGGCATCTAACACCCCCGCTTCTTTTGGCCTCTGAAAGCCCTGTGTAACCTTGGCCCTACTGTAGGGACTGGAGTGATTGGACCTCCTTATGCTAAGGGGTCCGGAATTCCCCTCTTTGGGGAAGAAAAGTACAAATAAAAATACAACAGACTCTGGGTTACCTGAGTACTCGAGTACACGGGCGTGAGAGGCAGCTCCAACGTCCTGGGGTGGTGTTCAAATGTTCCGGTTCTCACGGTATTGTGGCGTACAGTACTGCGCAAACCTAGTGTACTTATCATACCTGTGGTGATAGGCGCACTCCTACATCCGAACACCCATCTTATTCCAGCAGCCGGAGGGAGATAGCCGGAGATAATGAACCAAACCCCCTCCATTTCCACCCAGTGCTGCTATCATACTGGCACTGTACCACCGTATGCAGCCCCAACATCGGCACATACCGTACCGTGATAGATCCAGGCCGCGAGCATTGATCTGGGCCGGGGTTGGACACCGTTGAAAGCCGGAATCTACCCCACATTCTTGCACCCGCACACCTCGAGGCCAGCACTCTCACCCCATATCCTTCCTCTCGGCACCTTCCTTCCTGCTGCACGGGTTTTTCCTGCATTTACGACGAAGACGAGGTATAAGACGACGACGAGATGGAGCATCGGCCATCAAACTTGTATCCCGAGAGTGAAGAAGGTAGCTTCTCTCTCCAAAATTAATCGGTCGTTACCGCTCAATCTCGTGGCTGACGAGCTCTCCCTATTTACATCCAGCCGAATCGGGACCGGAGCAAGGTACGGATGAGGAGGGTGAAGAGGGCGTTATCGGTGGCACTTCACTTGAGCAGGCCCAACTGGCGTACATATTCACTGGCAATTCCCCAATGCGCCTCGGACAACTGATATTCACTTCTGGTGCTGGTGGGAGCTTCTCCAGATGTCAACAGCGCAGAGCGGGTTTGAGGGGCGAGGAAGATATCGATCCTGTGCCGAACCCGGAGGGACAGAGGTTGATGAAATCTGGGGAATTCGGATCAGTGCGTTTCTCGATCGATACGGTTTGATTGGCTGGGTGCCCAGAACTTATGATTTCTAGGATGACTTTACGAAGCGCCCGAGCCGGGAGAGCAAAGGGGATTCGGTAGGGGTGAGGAGCGAATCAGTTCCAAGTACAAGCCTTAGCAAACTTCTGCTGCAAAGGGAGCTTGGATGCTATACCGGTGGCCGTGAGAGGAGGCTGAACCAATTGGTGGCACAAGTAAGTTTGACAATCCTCCCTCCTAAGTTACCAGGCTTCTTGTGCGATAGCTGATGTGTGCAAAAGTCAATGGTGCCGTCCACCAATGCTGATTTCATAGTACACTACGACAATCGCTCCTACTCTGGCCAATTTTCTGAGGATGGAAACTTCTTCTATAGCTGCTCCCAAGACTTTCGAGTGCGCATGTATGATACATCGAACCCTTACCAGTGGAAGTATTACAAGACCGTGGACTACATCGACGGAAGGTGGACGATTACAGATGCCACGCTTTCGCCGGACAATCGCCATCTAGCGTATAGCAGTATCACGGCTCGAGTATGCTTGGCCAGTACTGCTCCGGAGGACGATGGGGTGCACCCGCTTGACTTCAGTAATGGCAGACACCGCAACCGGAATGCTATGGATCCACGTTACGGGGTTTGCCCTTCCGCCGGATCTTTCAGGCCTTGGTTGTTGCTAATGTGTGGTACAGATATGGTCTATCAGGTTTTCGGGTGATGGTCGTGAGATCGTTGCCGGTGCGAACGATTGTTGTCTCTATGTATACGATATCGAGACACTAACACCGGTTCTTAGGCTCGAGGGCCACAAAGAGGATGTCAACGCTGTCTGCTATGGCGATAGAGCTTCTCCTCACATTGTCTATTCTGGATCTGATGACGCCACGGTCAAGGTTTGGGATCGAAGAAGTATGGCGGACGGAAGGGAAGTAGGGGTCTTTGTCGGACATACGGAAGGCTTGACGTATGTTGACAGCAAAGGAGATGGAAGATATGTGCTTTCAAATGGCAAGGACCAGACGATGAAGTTGTGGGATGTAAGGTAAGAGATTATTACATGCAGGTTACTTGACTGATGCCTCGAGCTAACAACCGCAGAAAAATGATTGATAAGAAAGAGTCCGACTCTATGGCTCCTAGAAATTACGGTACCGGTTTTGATTACCGTAGAGACCGGTGCGTCCATATCGGCCCTCGAACCGATAGAGTATTATATAATTACTAACTCAATCATAGATATGGCGAGCCGTCCACCAAACACCCTTATGACTGCAGTCTCGTTACCTATAGAGGTCATAGTGTTCTCAAGACCCTTATCCGCTGTCATTTTTCCCCGCCAACGTCAACCGGATCTCGATACGTCTATACCGGTTCCGCCGACGGCAAAGCCAAAATCTACAACATTGATGCAACGGAAGTCGCAACAATCGATGTCCACGCTGCGACTATCGGCTCCCGGCCTATGGACCCAGACCTCATACATAGATCATACTACTATTCGGGTAGCGGGACAACAGCTTGGAGGACTTGCGTAAGAGATGTTAGTTGGCATCCAAGTGCCCCGGCCCTTGCTAGTAAGTTGTGCTCCATGATTCCAACCAGGCTCTTGTTAAACTAACGCCCCTCAATAGCCACAAGTTGGAACGGCTTCGGCCTCTCCACTGGCACCGTCACCCTCCATAGTTGGAATAGCACCGGCGGGAAGCCAAAAATCTACAATGCCAAGCTCCAAACAGACCTCTTCGAGAACGACCTAGGATATAGTGAGGAAGACGAGGAGGAGAGTGAGTATGCTGAGACGGAAAGCGGGCAAAGTGAGGACTATTAGTTGTTGACTGCACAATAACTGAAATGTTACCTTCTCGGGAGTTTTTACATTCTAATTTACATAATATGATACACACTCTCTCCCCTTTTCCTTCTTTCTCTCTCTCCATTTTTCCCTCACATGTTTCGCCGGGATTGAGCCTTTTTCACAGGAACCCCCGCTTCAAACTCCTGACGTTCGTTCCGGGATTGTGCGATGCTGTAGAGGCGTCTCCCGAATAGTGAATGAAGAGTGACACTGGCAATAGCGCGATCGAGTGACCGGGCAGACAGAACCCATACTCCACACTTCCTCTCGACATCGGACGGTAAAACCTTGCAATGTGGTAGTCTAGCGTGATAGGATACAGTACTGGTAGGAAGGTGATGACCGCGACGGGTGTGATACTGCGCTGTGTGGGGGTGCGAGTTCCCTGCTTACCTTTCAACGCGAGTGATTATTTGTGAGCACTCCGTGTAGCGATGATCGTGGTATAACCGGCCAACCGACTGGATAGTTTATTCCTCTATTATTATAGATCATATCCTCGATTTTATTTTATCCCCCCCATATTCCCTTTTTCCAGGTACTCTGGGTACGTGTCACGAGTATCGTCAGCATCATACACTCGCTTGCTTCCCTTCCGATTTATATTTTTTCCAGCTGGTATACCGCAACAGCCCCAACCCACACATCCACCCGTAATCTATCACATCCGATCCCGCCTGTTCGAGAGAAACATCTCCCTATCGAGGACCAAAAGAAAGAAAGAAAGAGAGAAAGAAAGAAAGAAAAACTCATATAGTACACCCCCCTCCCCCAACCTACGGTGACCTGGACCCACTAGCTTCCCTCCAAGCCTTCAACGGCAACGCGCTCAACCTCGTCGCTGCGGGCTTAATGTACCCCCAGAATGTGACCACGCCAATGATGATGCAGACCACGTTGGTGATGTAGTATCCATCCTGCTCTATGTTGCACATACCACCTTGTGTCTTGCACAGTTTCTTGTCGCCCTCGAGGGCGCAGGAGAAGGGTTCGAAGGGGGTTTCGGCATCGGCCAGTGGTGTGCAGGTCGCGATTGTGAAGGCGTCGACTAGTTTTAGGACAAAGATTCTAGGGAAGGTGCCACCGAGGTTGCTTACGCTGTTCGAGGAGTTAGCATTGTGGGGAGGGGAACAGAGGGGGGGGGGGGGGAGCTACGTTGCGAGCAGGGTCATATAAGTCCCTCCAATCCCCGGATCGGCAATCTTAGCGTGGAAAGCGGATACAGCGACGAACATTACCGTGCTGGTGAATGTTGAAAATATGTGTTCTGCGATCACAACCATGAGGTAACCCGACTCGACGACGCCGCCCCTTGGGAATATCCAGACGGTGATGTGCGCTAGTACTGCGGCCACCAGGCGGCCGATGAAGGCCCACATCCAGAGAGTCATGGGCGGGAAGTATGCGCACCACTTTCCGGCGTAGTAGCCCAGGCCGATCTCGAAGGGGAAATCGATCAGGACCGTTAGGGCCATATCTTCCTGTGTGAAACCTTTCTCGAGGAGTTTGAGGTTGGTCACGGCGTCGTTTGCTTGGAAACCTATTTTGGCGATCAGGTGGATTATTATGAAAGTTTGGACGTCTGCGCTTGCTCGTCAGCATTGGTATTACCCTCAACTAATGCAGGGGATGTCGGGAGGCGGGGAGCGTACGTTTGAGCTTGATAACTCTCCACATGGTCTTGTAGACGCTAACCAGCCCATCACGGTTGCTGGTTCTTTCCTCCTTCTTGAAGGCTGCCAATCCGAGGGTCACGATGAGGTATGCCCACCCCCAGAATGTGAGATATCCGCCCAGGGTGAAGATTCCGGTGTCGGATGGCGTCGTTCTGAAATACCGATTTGCAAAGTCCGGGGAGTTGAACGCTAAGAATACGGTGAACGAAAGAAATTGACCAGCGGTGAGACCGACTGTCTGGGCGGTTGAAGCATAAGAGAGGTTTTCAACGGAGAGCAAAGTCAAGGCCCAACCTGCAGGATGCCCGTCTTAGCACACGGGCCTTTCCTGAATCCGGGGAAGGCCAGATCCAGGGGAAAACTCACCATCGACAGCAACGTCCTGCGTCGCGCAAAGCATAACCAGTGAGAAAAAGACAAATGTAAAAGTGTACAGTTTGCTACTGGCCTCGGCCATAAGTCTATCCGCGTTTGCTCCTAACCACAACAACATTATAGCACTGAGGGCTTGTATGGGCACGATCCAGCTCTTCCGCCTCCCCATTCTCTTGCTCCATATCGCGTCGACTATGGGCGACCATAGCAGCTTCATGGAGTAAGGATAGGAAGCCAAACTGAACACACCAATCTCCCCATACGAGAGCGTACCCTTTAGCAAGAAAGGAACTGAACCCATCGCCAAACCCATGGGAACACCCTGTAGAAAGTAGAGTAGAACCAGCAAAGCAAAGTTCCTCTGATCCTGCGGCGATAGATCTTTCAGCGACGCGGAGGCCTGCTTCTCGTGGTCATCGTCGAGGGAGAAGGACTCCCGTTGTAACAAGGCTTCCGTCTGCATGGAGGGCGATAGCAGATCTTGGTCATCCACCGAAGCGTTCTTCCGCCGATACTCGACGGACGAGGATGAATTCATAATTGCCGAGGACGATCGGTCGTTGTCGTGATGGCGATCTTTACGACTCCGAGCCATTGGGGAGGAAGGAGTGGCCGGGTCGTCCGAGTTATAATGGGTTTTTAAGTCGTCTACGTATATGTTTTCGAGTTCAAAGTCGTCGGGATGTTCGCCGAAGGAATTGGACCGATGAGCTCGGGCTGCGGATGATGAGGAGGAGGAGGCGAGGGGGAGGAGAGGATCGCGGGACTCTGAGAGAGGTGCTGGAGACATGCACACACAGGCTTGGGGGGGGGGGGGGTTAGGTTACTGTAAGTGGAGGGGCACCAAACAACCACGGGCTAAGGACAGAAAGGGGAATAGAACAGATGTCCTTCTGACTCGTGGCGGGAAGAGGGCAGCCTGGGGAGGAGTGGCGACCACCAGGGAAGGAATGGACCAGTAGGGACCCCGGGATAGCTCTCAAGTCTCCACAGCTCTCTCTCTCCTTCTCTCCTTTTATTTCTAGAAGCTGTCACTGTCGAGGCTATCTAGGATGACACGGGGGCGAAGGGTACTCGAGTACTTGTGTCATAGGGGTCCCAAAGTGATGGGATGGGGGAACGACAAAAAAAGAGTATAATACCGGCGGCGGTGTTGAGAGGGGATCTGGTAATAGCATTCAAGCTTGCCTCTGCCTCAGTCCCTCTGGCTTTGTTCAGAGGGGTATCTGACCTTTCGCCCTCGCTCTCTTTCTCTCACGCCTGTTTAGAAGGGTTGTGTTGCGGGCGCTTGCAGTGCATCAGGATCGAGCCAAGTCTATGATAATTTCTCCGGAAGAGCAGGGAACCCGGAATCCTCCCCTGAGTTTACATTGCTTGGGACGCCAAGAACATGCGGCACCGGGAAGGGAAATCTTAATGTACGGTAAGGAGCCTTCACCGTCGCCGCCTCAAGTGAAGCCACGATTCCCGGTGCCTTGGGGAATGTTGTAAGTGTGCGGTACGAGTACCGGTACCAGCTTCCCTATTTTATATGGAAGGTTCTTCGGGCACAAGACTTGTACCGGTATGAGATGTCGTTCCTCACTGATGATGATGGCCTTCCCGCAAAGCTGGCTGTGGTGTAGCGTACCATGTTCTGCCGTTGCAGGGCGTATCCCTGAGTGGGATCTATGATACAAGTACGGTAGATAGACAGGTCCCGTGTCTTTGCTATTCGCTAAAGATGATACCGCTATCAGGAATAGGGTAAGTGAACGGCTACCGTACTGTACAGTACGTACAAATGGCAACGGGGAAGAAAGGCCCTTCAGTACCCGCAAACAGCAGATTCGATTCAGTTTTGCGGCGACCCATGGAGCCCCTTATTTTTCAAAGCCGCAGGCCGAATGGCGGTGGATTGACTACCGGTACTACCCCATTGACCCGGCAGCCAAACTTTTCTGAGCGAATGGTATGCTTGACTCGAGTACCGGTACTCTTGGAAGCACAACTTTGAAATGCATACAAACCTACAAACCTGCTCCCTACCGGTATGATACTCCCGATCCTCAATCCTACCGGTATTACTAGTACATTCGGGCCAACTATTATGCGTCAAGTTCGTATCGGGGGGGGTATGTCTGGAACCTGGGCACTCATTGCCCTCACTTGGAACGATACAAAAATCAACCATGCTTCCGGTATCCGCCCGCGATGTTGTCGATAGTCCAAGGCCCCCAACGAGGCTAAAGGAAACGCTTGCTGGGGCGCGCACTCACCCGGACAAGGCATGTATTATAGCCTTCATGCAACACCTACAATCCCCCCGGTAGTACCGTATATGCTTCTGGTATCCGTGCCCGCAAAAGACGATTGAACGGGAGAAAGACTTGCTCGGCTTGATGTACTAGTACCCGTACGAGCACAGCACAGTGCTCGTAGAGTACTGTACTGGCGCAGTGCGGTACAAGGCAGGCATTGTCCATACATTCCCACAGCACATAGTCTAACCACTCTTTTTGGGATTTCAAACTCGCTAACAGGAGCACTCACCTTTGTCTGCTTACATAATCAGCCTGTTAGTCCCCCAAAGTCTAACTTCCGCGCATTAACATACCGGTACCCGAGCACGATCTATCATAATATCATATCATAATAATCATGATATCTGCCGAAGCGACACACCACCCGACACGACTTTGGACCCTGATATTAACATGATGTTTGTATGATCACAACTATAATCCGCGATGGGAGTTCGAATAGAGGAATTAGGAGGGGAGCAGTGTGAAAATCAGACATTTTGTCAGAGGTAGCACCGCAGTCAACAGAGTACCCTACTCGTACAGTACTCGAGTACAGTACCGGTAGTTATTGCGACATTACTGCAACGGGCCCAACACCGGTACGAGTAACTCACAAGTACTTGTACCCAGGTCATTGGAGATTCATGGTCATGATGCTCAATCCTACATCATGTTTGGTTGGCGCGTCTAGCTAACTCCTACCGGTGGTGCGTAGCATAAAACCCCCTCCCCCCCTCCCGGATTCCGGTGCCATACGGTACAGTACTCAGGTACTCGTTTGATACTACGAGTATACGGTACTGTACGAGTACTGTACTCGCAAACCTCCTCTTTTTCCCCTACCCATTTTTTGCTCCAAACCCGACCAAAACTGCAAAAACGGCCAAGCGCGAATCCCTCCTCCCCTTGCCAAGCTACCGGTATACTGTACTCGTACGGTACAGTACTCGAGTACCGATACGGTATCATACACAACTGGGAAGGATCAAGTTGCCCACTCGTACGTAAACAAACAATCATCTTCCGGACCACCACTCCCGCCCCCCCGCGCCGTCGCTGCTCACCATACGGTACCGGTACTCGTACTTTACAGACCCTTTCCCCCTCTTCTCCCCCTTCATCCCGCCCACACACACTCCACTCCAATCCACTCTACACCCACACCCCCTCAAACAATTATCATCAAACGAGACGGAAAAGGAAGAAAAAAAAAATCGGAAAAAATATTAACCATGCCCTCTCAATCAAATGAACTCTCCTCAACAGAGGACTTCGACCTCCTCTCAATCGAAGCCCGGCTCACCGAACTCGAACGCCATAAAAGCCTTCTGACAGCCGAGCTCCTCTCGTATCGCTCCACCCTGCCGATATCGACCATACTATCGCAGGCAAAAGTCACGCCGAGCTATGAAGACCCCACATCAGTCACATCCACCCTGGGCCCAGGAACTGAGACCAGTAGCAACGGCAGTGTAGCCTCGGATGGAAAGTCAGAAGTCACCGATGAGGACATCCTCTCGGACGTCATCGCGCACGCGAAGTACTCGCAGAAGGAGCGGTTAAAAAAATTATACCGCATGACTGGTGTTACCACATTCACTTCCGAAGACCCGTCTCCCCCGCACAAAGTTAATGTGGGGATTCGCTTCGAGCTCTTCGGAAATCGTAATTCTCCCCCTCCCTCCTTTCCCTTTCACCCCCCTTCTGCAGTCACATTGGGAGCGAAGCTAAACTTCATAAAAGGAAAATTCACAACCCGCCAATACATAATCCTGTCCCTATCCTTAACCTCCTACACAATCGTCCGTCACTCGATCCCTCCCTTCCTGCACGTCCACAGCCTCCGGGCCCAGTACCCACACGACGTGGCAAAGTTTGCTCGTGTGCTCCGTGCCAAGCTTCAATTGTACGCACGACGTCTGGACGCCGTGGAGAAGCTCGAGCAGACCCTGACCAGCATGGGACGGATCGGAGACGTGCAGGAGCCATGGACCAATCGGATTGAGAGTGTCGAGTGGGATCTTCCCGTACGCATGATTGTTATCAATTGGTCTATCGGAGCGAGGGGCTCGCTGGTGTTGGATGAGAGGGGGAGCATCGAGGCGGCGGTGGTCAGGGACAATGACGGTGAGAGGATGAAGAAGTTGGAGGCTGTTATCAGAAGTGGAAACCTGGATGGGATCGCGGTTAGACTAGGTTATGTTATGGATAGGGACGAGATTTATGAGGAGGAAGGGGAAGGGGAGGCGGGGGTGATGACTTCCTGAGTGGGATATGTCACGGATAGGGAGGAGGTTTGTGAGGAGAAAGGTTATGGGGGAGCAGGGGTGACTTTCTCGAGTGGGAGGATATTTGTGAGGAGGAAGGTTTTGGGGAGGCAAGGGTGATGACTTGAGTGGGAGGAGAAATGGGTTGAGATTGATGTGGTGAGATGGGAGAGGACTGGGATCGTTTATTCCATTGTAATTTCATTTATTTTTTTCAGGGCATCAAGTATGATGTGCCTCTTATCACTGCTGTATCATTATTCAGATGGATAGATGGGTGGAGGGAGTCTGTATAAAACTAGATAAGGAGGGAGAGAGAAATGTACCAAACAGCTCAAGAGTAGTGTCAATAGGTTTGGCTGATATAGGAGCGTGGGGGGGGGGGAGGAACAGCATGACAAGAATGTACTAAACAGATTAACACTCGGCCAATCGAGCTCCTTTTTTAAATTTATAATATACAAAATCGATCCCATCCACACCTCCGATGTCCCCTTCTAACACCCTACTCCCCCTTCTCCTTTGCCTCTTTCTCCCTCATTTCCCTCTCCACCATCCTCTTAACCTCCTCCTTCCTCTCCTTTCTGGCGAGCACATTCACAAGCCACTCCTCAAACTCCTCCTCAGCCTCCCTCGCCGCTGCGTCCCTCCCACCCATCCCCTCGCGCACCCTTCCCCGCAACTCCTCCAGCGAGCACACGTCCATCGCGAACATCCCCCCGCCCACCAGCATCATGCCGAAGCTCAGTGTGTTGAGCGTTGCCAAGTTCAGAGCTTCCAGAGCGTCGAGGGCGCCGTTCGGGGGGTTAAGGGGCGGGCGGTTGTTCGGGTGGTAATATTTTGGCACCAGCGAGAGTTTGCGGCGGTGAATCGTACGGCGGGTTAGTGCGATGCTGAGGGCTAGGAAGGTAGTCCCGCCCAGGAGGAGGGTTAATTGGCGGGGGAGGCGGGCCCCTTCGGGGATCGGGGTGGTGGTTGCGGGGGGCTGTACGGTGGGAGGCGGTGGTGCGGGGGTCGACGAGGAAGAGGGGGGTGGAGGTACCGAGGGAGAGGGGGAAGAATTGCTGCCGGACCAGGGCATCCAAGAGCGGAGAGTGGATGCCATTGCCTGTGTTATTTCGTGCAATTTCTTGCAAGTACCTTCGTGTGGGTTTTTGTCCGTTCGTCCCCGCACCACCACCAGGTAGACTATCGTTCAGATTGAACTGCGGGAAAGGAGGGAAGAGAAAAAGAAAAAAGAAAAAAACTAAAACTAAAACTGCCGTTACACAATGTGTTGGATCTCATTAACCGTTATCTGCAATTCTGTTAATCCGTCAACCTAAACCCTCCCGGGAGCTTTTGACTTGGAATCCGGAGATTAGGAACCCCCGGAGATATCATTCGGTAGTGGATTACACGAGTACAATACCGGTACGGTAAGTTACGGTAAATACGATATCCAACGGCCATCATCTTGGCACTTTCAACCCCACCAACTTCACCTCCTAAAATAAAATAAAAATAAAATAAAAAAAATAAAATGCATCTCGAAACTTCCCTCTCCTCCTCCACCCCCTCCCCTCCACCCCACTCCCGCTCCCACTCCTCCTCCCCACCTGCCGAAAACCCCGACCTAACCCGCCTGTATCACACTCACCACACCCACGGGTATCTCGCAGGCATCACGCAGGGAAAAGCGCTACATCTCCAATCCGGCTTCGACGAGGGTTATGAACTGGGCGGCCGATTCGGGTTGAAAATCGGGTGGGTGCTGGGCGCTCTACAGGGTCTCACGCACATCGCCCCGGCTGTGGCACGGGGGGAGCTTGAGAGGGCGGAGCGGGAGTTGGTCTTTGACGGGGTGTTTACGGAGGAGTATTTCGCGCGGGGGGGTGTTTGGTTGTATGCGCTTGCGGAGCGGGGGGAGGAGGGGGAAGAGGAGGGGGCGGTTACGCTGGGATATGGTTGTGGAGATGCACCCTCTTGTGAGGAGGTGGGTGTGTAGGGTGAAGGAGTTGGCCGTGGGGGTTGGAATTGGATGGTGGAGGTAGTTGGAGTTGGGAGTGGGGGGGCGGAGGGGGGGGAGGAAAGGGG